TATACCCTTCACCACACTGTGGTACAGGGTATTATGTCTTTGTGCATATGTTTGTAACAGGCAAAAATAATCGAGATAGACACATGGTTCCTTTTGAGAATATGCATAGAATCACTTTCTAAGTCGATTTATGCATGTCCGTCCGTCCGTCCGTCCGTCTGTCCGTCTGTCCGTCTGTCCGTCTGTCTGTCCATGTTAAATTGTAAACAAAGTACAGGCCGCATTTGTTATCCGAACTGGATGAAAATTGGCACAGGTCACTTATTCGGCCCAAGGACGAACCCTATTGAAATTGGGAAAAATCGGTTCAGATTTAGATATAGCTCCCATCTATATATTTAACCGATTTAATGTAAACGGTCCCTATATATCTTTCGATTTGCACGAAATTTGGTACAGCCTAATCTTTTAGGTCTAGAATGATGTCTGCCAATTTTCGTGAAAATCGGTCCAGCTTTAGATATAGCTCCCATATATAGTTTCGTCCGATTTCATGTAAATGGTGCACCAAAATCCCTATATATCCTTCGATTTGCACCAAATTTGGCATAACGTACTGAAATGAGCCTAGAATTATGTCTGCCAAGTTTCGTGAAAATCGGTCCAGATTGAGATATAACTCCCATATATAGTTTCGTCCGATTTCATGTAAATGGTGCACCAAAGTCCCTATACATCCTTCGATTTGCACGAAATTTGGCATAACGTACTGAATTGAGCCCAGAGTCATGTCTGCCAAGTTTCGTGAAAATCGGTCCAGATTTAGATATAGCTCCCATATATAGTTTCGTCCGATTTCATGTAAATGGTGCACCAAAATCCCTATATATCCTTCGATTTGCACGAAATTTGGCATAACGTACGGAATTGAGCCTGGAATTATTTCTGCCAAGTTTCGTGAAAATCGGTCCAGATTAAGATATAGCTCCCATATATAGTTTCGTCCGATTTCATGTAAATGGTGCACCAAAGTCCCTATATATCCTTCGATTTGCACGAAATTTGGCATAACGTACTGAATTGCGCCCAGAGTCATGTCTGCCAAGTTTTGAGAAAATCGGTTCAGATTTAGATATACCTCCCATATATAGTTTCGTCCGATTTAATGTAAATGGTGCCCCAAAGTCCCTATATATCTTTCGATTTGCACGAAATTTGGCATAACCTACTGCATTAAGCCTAGAGTGATGTCTGCCAAGTTTCGAGAAAATCGGCCCAGATTTAGATATAGCTCCCATATACAGTTTCGTCCGATTTCATGTAGATAGTGCACCAAAGTCCCTATATATCCTTCGATTTGCACGAAATTTGGCATAACGTACTGAAATGAGCCTAGAGTGATATCTGCCAAGTTTCGAGAAAATCGGTTCAGATTTCTATATATCTCCCATATATAGTTTCGTCCGATTTCATGTAAATGGTGCACCAAAGTCGATATATACCTTTCGATTTGCACGAAATTTGGCATAACGTACTGAATTGAGCCTGGAGTGATGTCTGCTTTTTTCGTGAAAATCGGTCCAGATTTAGATATAGCTTTTATTATAGATTGATTTTAAGTAATTGACGCACCAAGGAACCAATGAGCTGATAGGAACAAAACTTTCTGAAATTAAAACAAACTAATCTGTGACAAGTTTGTTTCAAATCGCTTAATATTTGGATAGAGCTTCCATATATATTTTCCCCCGGTTTCAGGTAAATTGGGCATCAAACTCCTCATGTTAGTCAAATTGACATCAAATTTTGCACAACTTACAAAATTTAGCATAGAATTACGTAGTTGCGTTTTCCAGAAGTACAGACATAGTCCAACGTATGACCTATTTATATTTGTTTGAAGTCGATTTACATACTTTATGGATATATCTAGGTAGATTCACATTTAAATAAATATCAACTATTTTAGTTCATTCAATTTTATTTTAATGGTCCTGTTGAATACACCCAAAGTGGTGAAGGGTATCATAAAGTCGGCCCCGTCCGACTTTACTACTTTCCTTACTGGTTTTCTAATACCATTTTTAAAATTTCATTATCAAGAAACAAATGCTGAACAATAAATTTTACGTTCTTTTTTGTTTGCCTGAGGCTGAAGTGTCTTCGATAATTGTGTGTTTTAGTTTTTATTATTATATGTGTGTACATTTATTTGTGAATAGTGATAGTTGTAGTTGTGATGATTAAATACATTTTTTAATACTCTATCGGATATTTTTTAGCTTCAGATTTTTTAAAAAGAATATTAATTTATTAAAAAAGTAATAATCGTTAAAAAATTCTGCATGTAGATTTAGAACGGTGTCTATACGGGATAAATGGAGAGATTTCAAATATTATTCAAAAAAGAATGCACATAAAAATGAACGAAAATTAATAGGTATGTATTGTGTATCCGAAGCGTTTTTATAGTAAAATTATGAAGAAAAAATCCAAAAGCGCTATAATTTATTTTGATTTAATGCAATAAGTGATATATCGAAGTTGGAGTTGAAATTTTAAAAAGGTAAATGGAATATTACCTGGTTACAAATTTTACACGTACTGAGTTACTCGATAAAGTATTTTTCAGGGGAATCCTGGCATATATTTTGATTTTGTAAAACAATTTTTATTTTTATTTCTAATAAAATCGAACAAATGTGCATCTTTAAAAAATATTCCAATCTTTCTTTCTTTTCGTTTTTTTCCATATTTTTTCGAAGTAAAATTAATTTTTTATTAAACTTTCAAGTCGATATTTACCGTAGTAAATAAACCCGTTTTTATTAGATATATAATTTGTTGTTGTTTTTTTTTGTTTGATTATGTGCATTCTTTTTTCTATGAAATTTGATAATCAAATTATGAAGAATTTGTGAGTGTGTGAGAGTCCTGTATGAATTTATGTTTTGTTGAGTTGATAAAACAACGTTTTTGTTTCAACATTTTTGAAGACATGATTTAATAATATAGACAATGGAAGATTTTAGCGATTATTCCCAACATTTTTTGCAACATATTTTGGAAGTTGGATTGTAATTTTTGTTCCTTTGTTCGTAATAGACATGTTTTTAAAGAAAATATTCAGAAACAATAAAATAACAGCCAAAAATAAAAAAAAAACATGATCCTGATTAGATTAGTGATTTCCTTTAAATTCATAGTATGTGAAATTATTTTATCGATGTAAATATGTATTTATATCAGGGAGTACAAATTGAAACCGGTTCAGTTATTTTAGTTAAAAATTCTAGGATTTAAAAACAACATAAATGATTTATAGTTGAGTGGAAAATGAAATTCGAGCCTCTCTCTCTCCACTAGCCAATCAATATTTAAAACAACCAAGCTTTATTGAAAAATGTTGGGAATACTATATTGATGTTTATTTGTATGTTTTTATTATTTGCATTTTATTTTATTTTTATCAATGTGGTTATCTATCGTCTATATAATAGTTCTGTTATTAAATCACACATTTTACGATTACTGTTATTTTTTATAAAAAAATTAATTAAACACGAATTGATTGATTGCTTTCCTTTGCCTTAATGAAGGAGGGGGGATAAAAAGTGGTGGGTGCCCGGTGTTTCTAATCATATCTCGAGACGTCACTGTATAATTTTTTGTTGAATACTTATTTATACAAATACTAGTGGGGGTGTTTTTCTAGAAATTTGTTTTTTATTTATTGGACAAAACTGTTTTCTTCATTTACTTAATGCATTTCATCGAAAACATTCTAAACTTTTTTATATATTTAAGGCCTACTATAGGTCTTCTGAAAAAAAGGAATAGCTTCTGGTTAAAATTGATTCCAAAATTTTGACAGAAATAGTTCATCAATAGCCAGAAGGTAATCTATTCAAATAATAATAGAAAGGAAAAAACATTTCCTTCCGGTTTTCTCTTTCTATTTTCTTAACAGTTTTGTCAACTATGAACTAATTTTCTATATTTGTTTTTTCTTTTGTTTTGGTACACATTAAATAATTTTCGTTTGGAAAATAATAAAATCAATTTTTAATAACAACATATATGCAGAATTATGTATAGAAAAAAATGTTGACAACATTTATAATTACACTGTGCTACAAAAACATTAAAAAAATTTGAATGTTTGGACAGGGTCATAAATTGTAATTTTATGTTTGAATTTCTTTATATAAACTCTAAATGTGAGGTTATGTTGAAAATGTATTATTATAATTTTATTTTCAACATCTTTCGGAATACTCAAAAAGATATACACAGAGTATTTTTTTTTTATTTTTTGCTTAATATTGAAATTTTATATGTATATTTTTAATTTAACATGTTTTTATTTCTAAATTTATTTATTTTTTTCTTACCAAAAACCTTTCCATTGGAAATCATCAAATAAATCTATAAAATCTCAAACCTAGATTTTGATTTAACATATTTAAATTTTTACTAACACGTTTCCCAATACTAGTTTTGAAAAATGTCATTATTAACCTCGTAAATGAAATTGGATGAAAAAATATATCTTAACGTACGGGAACTATATTTGGTTATTTGAAATAATTTTTATGGACATTAAAAAAATGTCCATAATTTTGAAGTAGAAAAACATGATTTTGATATTTTTTAACTTGAAATTTTAAATTTGTAGTGAAATATTTTGTATTTGTTTTTTCTTTGATATAAATCATTTTCGTTAAACTTTCAGCTCACTTTTTAAATATGATTGCATATCTTAAACAGTTGTACAGTTCAGTTGGTACATATTATATTGAATTCGATTTTTCAGCATAACCTCAGATTTGAAAAATTAGAATTCTTGAAGAAATTAAAGTTGTTTTTTTATTAATAAAAATATACTATATATGATTTATTACAATTTTTAATAAATTAATAGTTGTTGTTGTTATTTCATCAAAATATATGTTTTTTTTTTATCAATTTCTTATCATTTGTATATGTGTGAATGTGTGTGTGCCTATGTAATCTACTTCCTTTTTTTTGTATGAAAAAAGTTCCGAAAAACACACTTCTTAAACACTATTTTTTGCAACAAATTCTCGTAGAATATCACAAGCCATTTCAATATTATTTCGTGATATACCCAAGGCCGTAATGGCGTTCTCTTTGGAATAGCCTTCGTTCATTAGCCGAGCTATATATTCCAAATTGATATTCTCATAGGGTACGGTACAGTCGCCGACGACCACCTTTTGATTGATGGAAATGTTTTCATAAAGTAAAGGCTGTTGATGATGCTGCTGTTGGTGGTGATTGTTGTGAGGATGATGTTGCTGTTGTTGGAGATTTGCTATTGTTCGGTTATTTGGTGTTGCTGCTGCTGTTGTTGTGGTTTCATTGCTTGTAATTTTCAGATCATTACGTAGATTGTTGTTGCAATTTGTATTCGAAGACGACGACGTCGAGGAGGAAGATGCCAAGGTGGTGATAGTGTTGTTGCTGCCAGTTGTGGTATTGCTACATAAATGTGTATAATTACCAATTATTGTGGATCTTGCCTCCAGGGGCCGGGTATCAATGACACCCATAATAGTTTCAGCTGGCCCCACAATATCATCATCGAGCAGATTTGTTGTGGTTGTTGTGGCAAGTGTCGTTGCCACAAGAGATGTTGCTGTTGTTGTGAGTCGCTGTGCCCGCATCTCATCGACCAAACTATCCACGTGACTGCTATTATGTGGTGGTATGGGTGGTGCTGTGGTCTTCGGTACACAGATCTCACCCAAGGTAGCTGCAATATTGTCCACACTTTTGCTCGTCTGCGGCATGACAATCTTTTGCATGGCTCCGCCGCCATTCATTGGCCCATTTGTGGGACTAGTAACATTTACATTATCGGCACCCGGTGATGACTTCCTTGGTGGCAATGGTGGTGCCGATGACGGTGCCGAGCCAGTGGCTGCCAAGGCGACGCACGTGGCTTCACGTTTTTGGGCCTCTTTGGAGACAATAGCCTGTGATTCTTGGAGATTTTGTAATATGGCATACGAGGAGTTGGAATTGTCATTGCATATGTCCGTTTTATTGCCAATTTTATTGCCATAACCAGTCACAATAACGGAATTGGTACCCATCAATGGGGCACTCATACGATTCGTAGACTTTTGTGAGGCAACGACAACAACGGTTGCTGCAGACGACGATGATTGCGGTGTGGATGAGTTATTGGCTGTTGGAGGTGCCGTTGCTGCCTGCAATTGAACTGTGCTGCCACCATTGACCACATTCATTGGTGGAGCCGAAGGGGGAGGCTGATGAACCATGCCACCGCCGACGCCGCCACCACTTGATAATACTGACGCAGCACTTATATAATTAGCCGTTGCAGCCTGCTGTTGTTGTTGCTGCGGCTGACCGGCCAATGACAATGTTGGTATATGTCCAGCATATAAATCATTTTGTACTGCCATCAAACTGGGCGTAGTACTGCGCCTGGAAAATCGAGGCGAAGTGTGTGGACTATGTTTGTCCGAGGAATGTGTTGATGAGGTCATGTTGTTGCTTAGAGCATGTAATGATGATGTAGCTATATTAAAATCTCCAGTATCCTATAGATGATGGATAGATTAGATAATAAAAAAAGATATCGACAAGTCCATATAAGGTCAAAAATATTTAGTTTATTTAAAGAAAACAAATGAATAAACTTAATAAAAACTTAATGGATGTGAATGTTCGTAGGATGCAGATGAATATTAATATTCTACTGAAAGCAAGTCGAGTAAAACTAAAATCTCAATGTACCGTTATAGGAGGAGTGTATCAAAATATGTTGCTATTGTGAAAAGTCTTAAAAGAGTATCAAAAAAATATTACTTGCAAATTTTGAGAATAACATCCAGCAGTTTCTGTTAAAGTCGCGATTCGAACGAATTCGAGTGATTTACTAGAAAGTCAAATAATAGCCAAACAATTACCCTATATTTTTTTTCCTTCAAAATTATCAATGTTTTTATTATTACACAAAAAAAACTTTCAATATACACGTTTTACAATACTCTCAACATAATCATCATGTCAGATTTAAGGTGCGAAACTCACTATCCACGATATTATGGGGCAATTTTTCTCAAGAATATTTTCTACTGAACATAACATCTGTCTGTTAAATCCGTAAAATTTGCAAATTACATCCGATTCGAATGGAAATGTTACCAGAATCGTTCATATACTGATTTGGGTACATATTTTGACAATTTTCGCCAATGACTTTAATGTTTAACGTTAGGAACAGATGGGTTTAGGGAAAAAGAAAGGCAACACTTTCGAAACGAAAAAATAACAAAATATTATTTTCAACATTGTATATGTTGCTGCACAAACACAGACATTGGACAAAGGCCAACAACAACATTCGCTATAAGACGACGACAATAGTCAAATATAACAACAAATAATAGAACTTGTAGAGGGGGTAGGTTTGGAAATAAAACAAACAATATGCAGCATGCAGCACACAAATCCGGAAACAACAAAATTAAAGAAACGGCGAGCAAAGAGCAAAACAAAAGGAGAACAGAAAAATATAAACAAATTTTGTAATCTTTTTTGTTAAATAAATTTTTTGATTTTTATTTAGTATATATATGTAAATATAAAGAATATATATGTGTAACTTCTAAATTATTATAATATTTATAAAAAATAAAAATACACACATGAACAAAAAACGAGATTAAGGAGAGATACATTCATAAATATAAAACAAAAACACAGGGCAAATAGTTACAAGTGACAGACAAAGAGAGATAGATATAAAGAATAATATTTAATTAAAATAATTATATTTTATACAATTAGTTTAATACAGAGAGAGAGAGAGAGAGAGAGTGTGTGTGAAAAAGAGGGAACAATTTGTATATATATATATATTTTTTTTTTAATTTTTAGCTATTATAATAATTTACAAAATATATATAGAGTTGTTATAACAATTTGTATATATAAAATTATAAACAAAAAAGTAAAAAAAAAATAAGGAATAAAGAAAATTCAAGTTTTATTTGCATACAAATTCGAAAATTAAGGCAATTATATTAATGTTCTTCAAATTCATAATTTAATACTAACTTAAATGAGTTAATTTTTCTTTTGTTTGATTTTGAACAGCCTCAGCAGTAATAGATTTTCTAATTATCATTAAAGTAATTAGCCGAGTACTGTGTTTAACCCTCCAGTCACCGCGTTGGCTAGCTGGCTAATTAATGGAAATCTTGAAAATACGAATAGCAATTGCCGCTATATGGCGGCTTATAGACCTGCAGATTTCAAAATATTCCATATTCAATTTAAATGATAATTAACACCACATACGATGACTTCAGGGTTAATATTATAATAATTTTTTTTTTATATAAATTATATATTTTTAAATTTAATTATTTTTATTTTTTATAAAACAGTCTTATAAAATGTGTACACGAGAGACTCCCTAGAAACAAAATACATAATTGAACTAAAGCATTTATAAACAATTATATTATGGGTAATATATATATATGTTAAATGTAAACTTGTGAGTGTGAAACGATATTAAATTATTTAAGAAACAATTTCGTTTATTTCAAAATATTATTTCCTTTTATTATTATTATTGTGTTATTATTATGCATGCCAATGGTATACGTTTTTTTATTCTTTTTATACAAGATATCCCAAATTCTATGAATAACAAATAAAATGCAAAACACTCGTAAGGCTAGTTGAACCATTTTTAAAGGAATTACAAAAATGTATCCTTTGAAGTTTGAGAAAAGAAAATGATTATCAGCGAATGGTTTTCTATAGTAAAAGAAAACAAGGAAAATGTCAAGGGAAATTCAAATAATGCTAGGCATCGATTGCGACCTAGCAATGCAGTATATTGGAACTGAGCCGCATTTGTGATAACCAACACAACTGCTACCTGGCTTTAAAGCCCTAGCTGGATGGAAATTCCATTATCCATATTTACGCAAAAATATTAGTATGTCTCTCCCATACCCGACCAAAAACATCTATATAATTAATATGAAATAAAAAGCTCAACATTTCTTCCCATTACTTCGGTACGTGACGTTTTAGTTGCTATGCATAACTTATGCGGAGTTTTAAAGCTTTGTTGGGCACAGGACATAGTGAAAAAAGGGAAGTAAATGGTTGATGAGCTTGCTCGGCCTTCATATTGATGTTGATGAGTATTAAGTCTATTTGCTATCACATAAAATTCTAGAAGAAGGCGAACAGCATTAGACTAAGTTGTCTTCTTTCCCTACTAATTTTTGATTGGCTGATACGAGATTGATACTATTCTACTATTCTATCCTTCGTGTGGTATTCAAGTGAAACAGCTGATTATAACCTATCCTAATTTGTTCTAGGTGGTGTAGAATCACTTGAGGAACAGGCAAAAACGAATTTTTCGTTCTTTGGATTTCCTAACCTTGAGTAAAATTTGGGTCAATTCGTATACGTAACAAGCTTCATATGATTTTGACACTTTTCGGGGACGCCAACGGAATTAGTAACCGAAACTTTTCAAAGAAATCACGGAAATCATTGGCGGACATTTTTAAATAGGCTTAACTTGCCGTCTAAAAATGTTATTTTATTGAGGTAAATTTTTGATTGCATCAATGTGTATATACCATCAATTTCCATTCGATGGATGTATACTATTTATTAACCATAAACCGAGCCTCAGTTTTCCTTAACATAACCTCACTTGTGTTAAAAAATGTTTTATTTGTTTTCATCTTAATCTTCAAATTCCTTGCAAATATTTCATTTATATAGGTATATAATATTTTTGTATTTATGTTTGTTTTGCTTGATCTTAATAAAATTTAAAAAATGCTAATTTCTACAAATCTTTGGGAGAAAATGCAAACAAATATAATTATAATATTTCCATACTAATTATGCCACTATCTCTTAAAAAATAAAACTAAATGTTGTATATATGTATAAGATTATGATGATGATGGTGTGTGTAACTAACAAAAAAGTCATGTGAAAATATAGAAATTTTAAAAGGAAAAAATAAATTCTTTTAAAATCACACAGTGCTACAATTTAAACAAATTAATATCATTTGGGAGTAAAAGAAAGTGGGTCACATCATTTTAAATTCCAGGTCACATTTGCAATATTATATACGGGATTTAAGTTTAAATCAGTATTCGATATTAGAACATAAATCAGGAATCCAAATTTGTGATGTGGATTTTTACTCCCTTAAAACGAATGTTTGTGAAATTATAGCCAATGTTATAGGATTTCGGGAGGCACCTTTTTGGTAGTTATATCAATGCCTGTGCCCCTTATCGAAAAGTTAATCTTTCAAGCACTTTTTACGAGTTTGAATAGATTGACGGACTGTAAATTTATGAAGTCTAGCATGTAAAACAAAACTGTAGCACTGTGTTACTTATACATTATTTTTTTATAGAAAATACATTGCAGATCAGATTTTTTAAAAGTAGAGCAATTATTCTAATATTTGAAATATATATATATATATATATATTTGATTTTTTATATATTTGATTTTAGTTTTGGCCGCCAGCTAAGTGGCATATTGTGTATAACTAACTATTCAACTAATAATACATTACAAACTAAAAACTCCAAATCATACATTGCTATAAATTAAGGAAGTGTGATTCAAATAACGGGACTAAAGTCACAAGTTACGATTAAACATTATAATCATTATTTTTAATAAGGCGATAAGGTAGATTTCTTTCAAATTTCCCAAGAAAACTAATAAAAACTAAAAAAAGTAATAAATATATGGTGTTTTGTTGTTGTTTCTTTTTGTAACTTTTCATCATGATTAAATTAATCGTAAATAAACTTAAAATCTAAGGGTGCTATTTACATATGAATCTTTTTTTTGAAAAAAGTTTGTGAGTTTCCGGTTTTGATTCTGTTCAAGAGATATATGTATACAAAAGAGCATCAACAATACACATTATAAAAAAAATAATAAATAATTTAAAGGAAATTTAAAGCCTTATTTAAATTAAGAATTTCTTCCGGTTGTTTTTGTTTTGTGTTCCATTATATTGAGACTGTAACCAAAATAAAACAATTATATGTGTGACTAAAAAAATATCAAAATTGCCTATAACAAAATGTACGTTAAGGTTGTTGTGTAGCTTGTTCATTAAAGCTTGCAAAATTCAGTCAAAATCTCAATATTTGTACACTTGTTGTTGTTGTTCCCACTTATTCCATATCCACTAGAACAAATCTGAAAATTATAAATAATTTATAAACGAAAAATACATGCGTTTATCTTGTTCGTTAAATTGCAAAAATAGTAAACAAAACAAACAATGAAATTAATTTGAATCTCTTTTTTAAAGAGTTCAATAATTATGTGTGTGGTTATAGCCATGTTTTGTTTTTTTCGCAAATTATTCACAATACGGTTTGTTCATCATTACTTTTTTAAGAAGGGGGGATGTGGGCTCAATTTCAATAGTAATATACATATGGGCGATGGATGTGGTCGGTGTATTTCTTTGTATATAATAACTTTTGAAATCATAAACAAAATAAACTTAATAACTAATCATCTGTAAACTATACCTCAGTGTCGTCATCATCGTTTGCTTGATGGCGTCCATTGGTAGTACTGCGATTGTGTTGTTTACGTGGATCGAATGCGTCAACCACAATTTGTTCGGTGCCTTTGATTTCAGCACGACAGAATGGACAACCCTGTGAAAGAAAAGAAAGTGAACAAATAAATATATTAATTATTACAAATATGTTTAAAATTTCCTTTTTTTGAAAAAAGTAGATGTCTACTACTCATATCACAACTTTATATATGCTGGTATTTCTTAGAAATATCACAACAGACATACATCACAACATTTATTAACTATCAAAAGTTTTTTTCTACGACGTCCATGTTTGTTTGAAAATTCGGATTCTTTGCCAACACCATTCAGTTTTTAAGGTGTTTTTTTCTGAAGGAAAACTTGAGTTTGAGGGCGTTCGTTCACACATCAATTTTTCCTTTCCTGTGGGTTTCCGATAATTATATTCACGCTTTATTCTTGAATTACTTCAACTGCATCATTGTGAATATAATTAAATTCTATTTAAGAAGTCTTTTGATCTAGAGGTTATCTTTTGTGCCTCACTTTGTAGATAGAGAATTCCTTCCTGATATACTTTGGCGGTGGATGCCTTTTCTTTAGATGGTGAATCGGATGACTTGTTATATATACTCAAACAGTGCAACAATGGTGGATCACACATTACCGCATTACTTTCCACAGACCACAGCGGCTTATAGCTTTATATGTTGTAAATAATGTACGTTACAGCCCTTGACCTTATCACATATAGCTCAGGTGTGAGCAGACGATAGCCTTATAAAAACTATCGAATATGATTCCTAGAACCATTAGGTAATTAGGTATTCAACCTATCGAAAATGTAATTAACTGTTGTCTTAGGCGATATAACGGAACATACATGCCTTCGGAATTTGTGTTGGGAATCAGTAACTGAATTGTATTATCTATCGCTTGGGAGTAACAGGGCCTCAAGAGTCATAGCTACTGGCGACAATTATTAAATCGGCCTGTAAGAATTGCTTTTGTTGACTAGCTTAATTACCTGGACCACCTTGCATATTTAACGTGACATTGGTTTAGTAATCTACTCCTTGTTCATCTAATTACTTTCACATCACCATAGAGATTCCATCAGGACCAAGAACATTGTCCCCAAAAGTGGGGTACTTTCTTTGAATTCGAATTAGTATTGACACTAATGCGTTGTATTATGAGACTTGCAAATTTAACTACATCACAAATAATATATTTCCTCTGTCTGTTTTATACATAGTTTCAATGGGACATTTTAATAATTTGCACACTACATTTCAAATCCTTTAAGACATTCTTATAGTTCGAAGCCAAGCAAATTAAAAATAAAATGAAATATATACCTGTCCTTCTGAATCCACCTGCCACGATGTTAAACATGGTGTGCACAACAAGTGGCCGCAAGGTTCAATTCGTATGTCTTTGTCATTTTCTGCACATATCTTACATAGTTGGAAAGTACTTCCTGCAAAATAAAATAAAGAAATAATCGAAACATTATTATCTGATGCGATATACAATAAAACAAACACCCACACTCAGCAATCGACAACTTACCCATTTCACAGTAAAGTTCATATTGCTCTTGGGTAACTGTAATATGGTCTTCAGTTGGACTCTGTACAGCTGAAGACAAATCTGGATTATAGGCTTTGCCATCGGGATACAAATAGAAACCCTCTCTATAAAAACAAAATGTCAAATGTTTATTATTAATCAGGGCTTTTTAACACTTCATGGAAATTTGTTGCATGATGTTAATAAGGGCAGGGGAAATTGTACTGATGAAAATACTCGCCTATGACCATCCAGTAACGCTTGACAAAGTGATTTATTTTGTGGTATTGTTTGTAGGATCTCACCATCTGCAGTCACATAGCCAATTGCCCACTGGCCTAATCGTGTACACGACAATCTGTTAAATACAGAAATTGTATTATTAATATTGTTTTTATTCATATCATAACATCAGTAATTGTCATACAGTGGCAGACAAGCAAACAATTTTGTTTATGATTCATCTGTCCATATTATTCATTATCAACATACCTAAAAACATAACTTCCGGCCTTGTGTATGTAACGTTGTAGGCGAGCTTTGACTTCATCGTAAGTCAGAAATGCCACGTATCCGGGATGGGTTACGGCTAATATTTGCCAATTTCTCAGTAGGGTGGCCCAGGGTTGAAAGAGTCGCGAAAACACATCAAATTCAAAATTCGATATATAATCGTTGCACGTAAGATCGATGGTCGTTTTCAAGGCCATTGCTTCTAAACCCGACGATATGGGATGTACTTTATTCAATTCCTGACGAAATATCTTCCAAGGCACCAGAGTACTGGAAGTAAACAAACAAACGCACACACGCGCACACAATGAATGGGTGGTGGCCGCAATTCACCGTTTCGTCTGTCTGTCTGTCACTACACTTACCTATTGCCAAAGTTTGATTTCCAAAACTCCGCTGCATCTGCTTTTGTAATTCGAAACTGATCTCCGGCAAAGACCCCGTTGGGAAAAATAGCCTTCAATTCGCTCAACATATGTGAAAAGACCAAACTTAGTTTGGTCAAGTTGCGACGATAATGTGAGTTCTCGTCAAACATTTTCTCCTTCCCCTCCTTGAATAGCTTAATGGCCTGCTTGCACTTTCGCATCAGATTATTGATGAACACATTGAAGTGTTCGTTGTTGTGTAGCACATGCATCTGGTCCTCATTCTTGGAGTAGATCAGACGCAACCGTTGATACGTATCGGGCAGAATGTCCAATATGAAGGGTGGACTATTCTTCAGATTCATTTTCGGCTGCTGACACAATTTGACCACCTTGTCCATTAATTTCCAGGTTTTCTCGAGGGTCTTCTTGTCGGTGGACAAGCGTTGGGGCCCACATGCCTCCGAGAACGAGGCATGGAGCTTGGAAAATATAGAACTTATGTTTTTCGTTTGTTGTATGCGACTTGTACGGCTCGTCGCCATCTTTTACGTCTGTCCAGATTCAATTTTGGTATCGTTTCTTGTCTGCGTTTCTTTCGTCTTCGTTGTACCCAGATAAAATCTGCAAGTTGCAAATGCAACTGGATATCGTTAAATTAGAACACAAATTCACTGATAATTTTCTTTGCAGTCTTCACGGTTTGAAATTGAAATATCTTCCGAAAGATTTAATTAGATTTTCGACATGAAAAAACAGTTTTGTCTCGATTTTTTAATGCTTTTTTTCTCACATACTCGTGGAGTTTAGTGTCGGACTATTTCTAATGATAACGGCGTCAATTATGAACGCCGTCCATATGACATTTCGAGAAATGATTTAACGCAGCGTTGTATTGTAGTGGAGAGGAATAACAGGAATGGAAAATCAAAGAGGCTAAAGGGCTAAACAGAATGTTCGCGTTGAGCGTTTTTTGTTATCGCGTTAACGCACGCAAAAAGTTAAAATATATTTAACTCCGAAGCGCAGCGCACAACAAATTCGAGCGTTTGTGTTATCGTTTCCTTGTGGTTGTTGTATTTTCGATAACACATAATGCAACGGATAGCTCAACGCGAGCATTCTGCTTAGCCCTTAACGCTTTGCCGACACTACTAAAGGGCGAAACACATACGAGGATTTAGGCCTGGCATGTTAGGTTGGCTTTGTATGAAATGACTACTTATAACGTCTGTGACCCTACATCCTCGTCCTCTGTTCTGTTATATTCTAAACTACTATCTATGCAAAATTCTACAAATTGTTGATTATCTACATCATTGTTAGTTGTTGTTTATGGTTCCGATACTGTAACAACCAATTATGTGCAATTTTGGATTCGTAGATTCCGTTCAGAAATTTTTGATGTTAAAGATGCACCTCGCACAGGTGTCAATAAAATCGTAGATCGAAGTTGACCGGCAGCTAAAAATCGACCATAACTCTTTTAAAACCATCTACACAAAAAAAAAAATAATAAAAATAAATTCCTATTTTCAACATTTTGCATGAGTCCTTGCCATATGTAGAGGTAAACATATGGCAAGGACTCATTTGGAGGAAAGATCTGGAAGCTATGAAATTATAAATTTACAAGATTTTCTTTCATGTTGTACCATGACCTGAAATAAACTACAGCAGAATAAACCACATCATATTTTTGGAACGTAGATAATGAAATGAAGCTGAAATTAAATCTATCTACATATTCTTATTGGATGTTCTTCAAAGTAAATGAGAGTAATATGAGCGATAACAGTTATTTGCAAATTCTTAGTGGTGAAATTTACTCAACCAAAATGTTCCTGTTAAAATGTTTCAAATATTCGAGCAAAAATAATTTAATTATTTTACGTTAGTTATATCATTAAACACGTGTGTTTTTTAAGTGAAAAGAAAAAATTTCTATATTGAAACGTCCAGTCCAAAAAGTCCAGTCATTAGTCTCTAAATGTCGAAAATTTATTTTGATCAGGCAAATATCGAAGTCTTTACTCGACTTTTACGCTCGATTACGTATCCCTATCACATACTCGTGGAGTTTAGTGTTGGATAATTGATACCGGCGTTAATTATAAACGCCGTCTATATAACATTTCGAGAAATAATTTAACGCAGTCAGTGAAAGGCTATAGAAACGAAAGGGCCTCAAAACTAATTCATTTGAAATAAATGAACTCGATCAATTTGATGGACATTTTTAAACTATAATCTGTGTTTAAATAATACTTGTGTGTGTACACCTCTCTTAAGAAGTACGGGAACAGAAATATTTTGTCGCTAAATAAACTAACGAATAAAGAAACGGGGTTTCAATCAATCGCTAACGCCGTCAAAGCATTTATTGCCATCACAGTGTTCAATCTGTGATTCCAGCTAACCAATATGTGATTTATCGAAATACAAAATGTTATCGTTGTTTATTTCAAATAAATTGGGATTCCCATTGTGAGATATGTTATCACATTGATATTTATAGTTCCGTTTCGGAATCTAAAATAATGTACTAACTTTACAAGTTTTGTAACTTTATACACGAAAACCGTTCCATAACCCACATAACTGGTAAAATAATATGGGGTTCTCTTTGTAAACTTTTTACTTGAAAAATTTGCCCGAGTAAAAATGGTAAACAGGAATGCACACTTCTGATTGGCTCGAACTTTTCAAAACATTTTGTACTTTGAGAGCGATTTTGAAATGTTTCCCTATTAAAAAAAAAACTCATAAAAAACAAATCAGTATTATGTTCTCTTTAGGCCCGTACCTAAATTCAGTGCATTGCGTACTAAATTACCCACCTTCTCACCTTTATAGGGTTTGTTGAACGCCCGTATTACCCAAATGCGCATGGACCTTTTTTACTTTTATGTCAATTGAGAACGGCGAAAATAGATGAAACCATTTTCTTAATTAACTGAAAAATTTTTACATTTACAGAAAAACTAAATTTTCTATGACAGGAATTCTATTTTCAGAAAATAAAAAAAAAAACCAAATACACATTGTCAATGTTGAAAATTTTCAACTTTAAATTTGTATACGCAGTAGTGAATAAAATCGTACGCATACGCATGAATTTAGGTACAACCCTTATAAACTTTTAGAGAGCACATACCTTTTTGACAGATCTAATGTGAGACCTGATATATGAGCCATGTTTTCTTAAATAAATTTGTATTTGTTCTGTTCCCGTTTTTTTTTTTTTACAAAAAGTTAGTAAAAAGAAAAAAGAAGAAATCGCTCTCAGAGTACAAATTAATTGGAAAAGCGGGTTTAATTGTATATACCATTGTATATATGTCAATCCACATAAAGTAGATTAACACGGTAAAAACTCTTATGTAAATGCCGTTTAACAGTGGCAATCTTTCACAATTAGATATTGTGCAGGTCTCACACTAGAACTGCCAAAATAAAAGCTAGTATACTTTTATCGTCCATTATTATTAGAATCGTGTTAAGGTATTTGGGTCATTTTCATCTTAATAAATACAAAATAATGCATGTACTCGTCAATAAATGTGCATATCATTAACATACATCAATTTCCTGAGATTGTATGATTTATTATCTACTTGTAAGTAACTTGATATAAGTAGATTTTTAATGGTTAGTTTTATTTCCCCGCCCTGACGTCTCGTAATTCGCGCAATGGGTAATTAAAATCGATTTGAAGAAAATCATAACAAAATTGAAAACAAGCGTGATAACATTACTGCCTAATTAAGTCAAGTTACTAAGAACAATGGGAGATATTTAAAAACCGGATTGGTGGTGTAAGCGCTTTAAACCTTAGAAATACTTTATGTATATAATAAAATAACGTAGGAGAACTCGAAAAAATAAGGCGTTTACATTCACTTGGCAAATAGGTCCTTAGAGCCGGAACAATAACTGTAGACGGGATGGAAAAAAAATTATTTCAAATTTTGGTAGCAAGTATAATCAGTGCTGAAGTCATTAGAACTGGCGCCCAAACATGGAAAGGAAACTGGTCAATGGTCAAGGGTTTGTGTTTAGGGTGTATAATACGAGGAAAAATAGCAGCCCAAAAAGGGATAATATATTTGCTGATGGTGAGACCAAAGGCTTATGTCGCCCTTGAATATTAAATATTGCATTTACAAATGCGAGAAATAATATGGTGTTGAAGGATTATGGTCTTTTCACTGTGATGATATATCAAATAAGGAAGGCGCTCTACATAGGGATAACCAGATGCTGAAATAGAGAGATTCAAATATGTTTAATGTGGAATGAAAACCATTATGCTTAAGAGAGCGATATTTCCATGTGCGAAGAAACTCGAAAAACATTATTTTGAACCTGAAGCTTTGTTATATCGTGACTTCCCTTATACGCCTTGTTGATACCCAAGGCGTACAAGGGAAGTCACGATATAACTGCTACCTTCATATATATGTCCCTCTCAATTAATTGTAATTCTGATATCTTTATTTTAGAAGACATGAAACGTCAGTCCAGCTGAACATAACACTTTTTAATTTTTTTTTATAAAATATTTGATAAAAAATGAGTGCTTTTACTAAATTTTATTTTTTTAGTGGGAGATATACAAAAAATACTATAAGCTATTAAATAAACATAATCATCTTCAGTTGTATCACCCTACACATCTTTCACTTGCCAATTTTTAGGTAGGTACATTACTTCTGGTTTTACGACCCAATTATCTATCTCATCAGCTCATATGATATGTGTGAAAGTTGACCAGGTTATTATTGTCTAATGAAATGAAATTGAGTAACCCAAAAAGTCATAGAAAATCAGCAGAAGCAACAGCATCATCAACATCAAATTCGCCATTATGCAAAAGAGACCAAAGGTAATTATTTTTATTGGGCGCCGTCTACAAATTATACCCCCACTGTATGTAAATTGATATGTGTGACCACTTAAAGAGTTGGTCGCACATAAAGAAAGCTTCAGTTGCAAATCCTAGATTGTACCACACATCACAAGACTGTAACCACCAGCAGTCGCTGTGATCGACATCATCGACATGTGGTTGATAATGACCAAGTAACCAACAAACCAACCCAGGCAGGCTGGATGCCAGCCACCATCAGCCACAGCACCACCAACACCATCGACATCACCGCCACTAATCAAATCAAAAGTGGTTTTGGCGAAAGGTAAATGCTAAGTGTACGGAGTCACGTTAATAGATTTTTTATAGCTGCCACAAAATGAGGGTCAAAATAATCATCTGACGTTTTGTTGCTGTTGTTGTCTTTCTTTCTTTTCATGGCAAATAACATTTGGCTGGCTGCAATAATTCCAAGAAAAAACCCCATGCGTTGTAAATTTGGAAAACTGAAAGAAATATGTAAATATAAATACAACAAATTTACATAAATATGTGTGTTTGTGTGTGGGTCTGTGTATGCCTCAACATCTCGAACCTGCCAATGCAAATTTCATCCATTTGGTTTGGAGTAGAGAGTGCATTGCTGCTATTATTATTATTTACATACAAACATAAATCCATAGGCTTTTCCATTCGATAACTCTCTATTGGGCTTAATATTTATGGTTTTGGTGGACCAGAGTTGCCGTGTTACAAAAAGGGAGCTGCTAATGACAGATAGTGTTGAGCAGGAAAAATAAATTCAATGTAGTTATGACAAAGACATAAAGCATAAAAATGGGACATTACATAGTCCAAAGATGCCAATGGTTC